GAAGCCGGAGAGAGCCCGCAGTCAGGGCGAGGTGGTGGGCAGAGAGTGGGCGTGAAGCCTGGAGGAGGAGCCTGGCGGATTTTCTCCGCGGGGCCACGTGTACGCGCCCTGGCAAGAGTAGTCCCCTGAGCTTGCCCAGCCGTGCTTCGGATCCTAAGAGGGCGTTTCTGTGGTGCTCATGGTTCTTGCACCCTGTCTCTGTCTTGGCGACCCAGGGGAGAGTTCTTTTCCTAGCTGCTTTGCGGAGTCTGGTTTTAGATCGCTAAAGGGGAGAGGCCTCCTGGATGGGTCGCCGGGCCGCCGGGCCTGGACAACCGCGAGAGGTGGGGCAAAATGGAGTCTTGGAGGCGGGCAGTTAAGTCTGCACCCCACAGGGCCCCTCGAGGGAAACTGAGGTGTCCCACGCGCACACTGGGGAGCGTGGCCCGGCCCAGGAAGCCCCACAACGCGGGGCCTAGACAAAGCTCCCAAAGGCCAAAGGCTGCTCAGCCCTCTGGGCCCCATTGCTCGCCCCCCCACCCCCATCGCCCAGACCCTAGCTGGCCCAGCGTGCGCCCGCCTGCAGAAGAGAAAGCAAATCTCACCGACCTTGCCATCTCCTCTTTTTCCCAGCTCTACCTCGAGCGCGCGCTCTGGGAGCGAGGAGCGCGCTCTGGGGTTCTCTCCGCGAGGCCTCAGGCTCTGGCTGCCAACAGGACGTCCTGGCTCAGAATGAGCGCCCAGTGCCGGGGAGGGGGGGGGCAGTTTATATCTGTCTTGCTGTTGTTTGATGTACACATACCCACTCTATTTACTATCAAATAAAAGAAATACATCTGTGTTGCCAACAGAAACAGCTCGCGCGCTGACTCCGAAGTCTCCCAGGCCCCGGAGGCGATCCAGGGCGCTCAGAGTGGCAGAGACCCACATTGTGGGGACCTGGGCTCTGAGTTAGGTCCCGGCCTATGGGAGTATGGAAGTCCACGGTGGGGTGTTGACAGGCTCCACTAGTTTGTCGCAGGTGGGAGAGAAGGAATGCACGAGGCATTCCTGTTGGACTGATTTCAGGCTCAGTCCGTTCCATGGGATTCTACCCAGCTTGCCTTAGCCTGGGGCCGTCAGAGAAAACCAGCTGCCCAGGGTCACCTCAAAGTGTGCCTGATTTTGTGTGTTAACGATAGCTGTGATGCTAAACACATATGTGGCCAGGTGTACTGTGGGCCCCTGGGCATGGGTCTGTTAAGGTCTGTCTAAAGTGTGTATGTGTGTGTGTGTGTGCGTGCACGCGCTGTGTGGTGAGTGTTTATGTCACACGTGAGTGGACCCTATGTGTGGTTTGCTGGTGTGTCTATTTGGATGATGCAGAAAGGATTTAGCCAGAAAGACCTGTCATTTGCACTAACTTGAAGATTAATAGGGGGTGCAGATAGGGAAGATCTGAAGTTAAGGTAGGTGGAAAGAAAGCTAGGTTCTATGATGGGAGGGAAAGGAAGGTGAATGTATAAAATCTGGGGTGTTGGTCCACTGTCCTAGGGTAGGGGACAGGGGCTGACATCCCACAATGGAATGTCCTGGAGGAATTGCATAGAGGCACCCTCACCCGTTCAGATAGCCAGCCCCCTCTGCTGCATAGTTCCAACAGCCCCTGGCAATCCCTGTGGAGGTGGGGGTGGGGAAGGGCGTTCTTTGTAGGGGAAGATCACCCCAACCAGCTCTTGGGATGTGACAGTCCCACTGAGAGGTTTCTTGGGCTGTCCTGACACCAAGACCTCAGAAAGCCCTGCAGTAGAGCCTAGGATGCTTCCTTGTGAGCAGTGATGCTTGGTGCTCCCACACTCAGGCTCAATTCTTTCTCTTGCATTGTGAGAAATACTACCACCCCGACCAGACACGAGGGAAGCGGAAGTTTCCCGCCTGGGCCAGCTTCTAGGCTCACACAGCCGCCAGTCCCTGGAGGCCTGGCGCCACCCTTCTCCCCTAGGGCAGGCACCGTGGCTCCATGGAGAAGCTTGCCCATGCAGGGCAGTGGAGCTCCCCGATAGGAGGGAAAGGGAGACCTCGGGGAGCAGGACAAAGAATAAACTGTGTGTGGGGGGAACCAGTTATTTCTTGACTTTGTATAGACTGGGTCAGTCAAGAACCGTTTTCTAGAATCCAAACACAAATAAAGAAGTATTTTCTTGGCGTTTGATAGCATCATGTTCTGGCTGTAAAATCTAAGGACATGTTTGCTATTGCAACATTATTTTTAATGAGCTGTTATTGGCCTGTCCCACAGTTAGTATTGCCAACAGTAAAAGGCATCACTATGTTTGCAGGTAACACAAGGAACAACATATTTTGACCCCGAATTTCTGTTTATTTTTCATTTACGACACATGCCCTCGTTTTTATTCCAAACCACAGGGAAATAAAGGGAGATCTATCTTCACTGAGGTTCAGGTTAAAATTGTGCCATAAATACGCATGCCAGTTTATTTGGGGGCAGTTTGCCATCAATAGAAAACGATATTCAACATTTCAGCCATAGTAGACTCAACTGTGTCGATTGGGTTTAGGGAACCTAGCAAAGCACTGAGAGAGAGAGAGTGGGAGCGCGTGCAGGCGCTCCCCAGCGGACAGGCCGGGCGGTGTGCTCTTCGGAATCTTCACGGTCTAAAGGTTCTTCATCTCCCCCTTCTGGCTCCCCAGCTTCGAACTTGCCCTGCCAGGAGTTGGGCATACAGACCCCATGCTCTAAGGCAGGCAGCTGGGCGGTTGGCAAGGAGCGCCCAAGCACCCGCTTCCACCTGCCAACTCGCGCTTCCCAGCGGCTCCCAGCACCCCACGCCTCCTCCGCAGGCTGCCCACCAAGTGCATGGGAACCTCCACTGCTGCGCTTCCAGGCATGGGCCAGACAGGGACAGCAGACCAGAGAGGCCGCCCTGGAGGTGGTGGGTACCGGTGGACAGAAAAGGGCCTGGCCCGGAGGAGACAACATCCTCTCAGTGGCCGCTGCCACAGTCAGGTGGTCTCTGTTCCCTGGCACTCGACACACCAGGACCGTGCCCCAACCTGAGCCACCCCGAGAGCCACAGTTCCTCAAAACCTTCCCGGTCTGGGAGCTGGTTGGCCTCCCTGGGTCTGCCCTCTCTCGATCTGGCTTCTCCCAGCGACACTCTGTGACCTGCCTCTGGCCACGGCTAAATGCTGAGTTCACTCCCTTTCTGCCCCCGACCCTAGATGCCACGGAGCCCAGCACACTCCAGGCCCGCTGACGAGCGCCCCGAAATGTCCTGCCCAGAAGCTCGCGGCTCTTGAGGGAACCGTGGCCTGGGAACGGAATGCGAGGCTGCAGCACTACGTTCGGAAATTTATCTGCCATCTCTCAGCTCCCGGCTGCCGCTTTGCTCAATTTCTCAAACTAGATAAGCTTAGGTTCTCGCCCCTTCTGCCCCCTTCTCCCCTGAGCGCAGGGCTTTGCAAGCTGCAAAAGACACTGGGGAGAGAACAGCCCTGGTCGCGAACAAAGCTGCCTCTGTCTCTGCGGCCTCCTGGATTATGGGGATGTGCGTCCAGGTCAGACTCGGCGAGCGAGCGCAGAGGAGGCCAGAGAGCAAGGCGGAAAAGTGTTTCAGAGACACCTGCTCTGCGGAAAATCATCCGAAGTTACACACTCTGGCCACACAAAAGGCTTCACTTTTCTTTTCTTTTTAATTAATTCAATTTCACGACAACATTAAATGTAACAATATTTTGTGGGCTTTTTTCTTTTTCTTAAAAAGGGACTGAACCCGGGCAGTGACGAGGGAGATGGGGGGTGGGGAGAACGACAAGCTATCGCAGAACAACAGGTGTAGCCGACAGAAAGAAAACAGATTGGGTGGCAGAGCAAGGAGCCCTGTGGAGTTGAGGGTGAACTTTACAAGAAATCTGTACATATATCAAATAAGTTAAAATTCTCCTAAATTGATTGTCCTTCACTTAAAGCGCTCTTTCTTTCCTCCCCCCCTTCCCTCTTCTTAATTTTCTCCTCCCAAACGAATGACCAGGATTACACAGTGAAAACGTCTGCTTCTCTCCGTGGAGAAAGAGGCAGGGCTCTCAGGAAATTTTGTACAATATTGCACAGGTCAAAAGTACAACAGTGACTGCAGAACAAAAAGGGGGAGAGGCTAAAAAACCGATTTTTTTTTAATATTGAAATCACTCTCTCAAAACAGGGAACAAAGCAATAATAGTAATAATAATAATTTACCAACAAATGAAATCCCCAAAATAAATGCTACTAATAAATAAGACCACTCACACCGGGCCAGATGTGGAGTTGTTTCAATAATCAGAAGTCTAATTTGGGGCTGTCTTGTCTTTTCCTTTTAAACACTTAGAGAATTCTTCAGTCACAAAGCAGGACAGATGAAGAGGTCAGCCGCGACACACCTCTGCGGAAAAAGCGGCCTGAGTCGGGGTTCCTACCAGAGTCTTCTCAGATTCTGAAAATTGGGGAAGATAACTAGGGCTGGAGAGGGAGAACCACACTTAGAAATCCAGGAATAAAAGTAGGATAATGTGAATTATCTCCTTCACTCTCTCTCTCTGGACTTCTGAAAATAGTTCTATAGAAAATGAATAAACCAGAGGGGTTTAGGTTTTTGCGGCTTATTTCTTTCCTATAAAAATAAAACCAAAAAGCCACAGCGCAAAGCAAATTTGGGGGGAGGGAGGGAAGAGTTGCACCTTTTACAAAAGCTTTCAGACGAAGTATTTGACCCGGGAATTTTGTCTTTTCCCTGCTCTTTCTTAAGAGAACCAAAACCAAAAGTAAGAGGGGAAGCGCCTCAAATCCGTTAGGGGTGAATTGCACGAAAATGCGTTGCAAATACTTACAAAACGCTACCGATTGGGGGAGGGGAGGCCGGGGCGGCGCGCCGAAGCCCCGGTTCCCGAAGGCCGCTGGACGTCTTGGCGCCCTCGGCCCGGCCCAGTCTCCTCCGGGATCTGGGAAGGCGGCCGGGCGCTCCCTCCCCTTCCCCTGTCGGGCCTCAGACCGGCCGTAGCAGCGGCACAGAAGAGACCACCGGGTGCGAGTAGTAAACGGGGTGCGGGAAGGTGAGCAGCGGCTGGCTGACAGGCACCGGGGCCCCCGCGGCCGCGGCCGCGGCGCCCTCGGCCGCCGAGTTCTCGTGGTAGAGGATGGGCACCCGCACGATGCGCTGCGCCGCGGCGTGACTCAGGTTGGCCGCCTCCAGCTCGGCCGCCAGCTGCCGCTTCCACTTGTTGCGGCGGTTCTGGAACCAGATCTTGACCTGCGTCTCGGTGAGGTGCAGCGACGCGGCCAGGCCGGCGCGCTCCGAGCTGCTCAGGTAGCGCTTCATGTCGAAAGTGGACTCGAGCTGGAAGACCTGGCTGCGCGAGAAGACCGTGCGCGTCTTCTTTTTGCGGCACGCGGGCTTCTTCTCCGGGCTTTCGGCGCCCTTCTTCCAGTCCTCGGCGCCCGGCGTCGCCGCCGCCGCCCCCACGCTCGCCCCGGCTACTCCCGCCGCTGCCTCGCCCTCCTTCTTGCCTTCCTCCGAGTCGCTCTCCTCCAAAATGATCTCGTCCGGGCTCTTGGAGTCCAGCTCTTTGTGGTCGGGGTCGGCTTTGAGCAGTGGCTCGGGGGAGTCGCGATCGGTTCCCGAGGCGGGGGAGGAGTCTCGCAGGAGCGCCTTCTCCGAAGCTGGGGAGAGACAGACAGACGGACGCACACACACGCACACGGACACAGCCTTCAGCGAGGCCTGGCGCCTGGGGGCCGAAGGCTCGATCCACACTGGCCTCTGGGCCCCAGGCCTCGAGGCCTCAGCGTTCCCACGGGCCTCCTTCCTGGCTGGGCCAGGGTGGGGACTCCGCGTCCGGGGATCCCCTTCCTCCCGAGGGCAGGCGAGAGACCCGGACGGTGGCAGAGCGGCCACTTCCTTTCTTTCCCTCAGATCTCCCGCCAGGGGCCCACGGAGAGATTCGCCTCTGGCCTGGGCCTACCGGGTCGCTGCCTCCATCCAGGCCCGGTCCCCGGTCCCAGCCGGCCGAAGCCTCCCCACTCATACCCCAGGCCACTTTTCCCGGGAAGCGCCGCGCCCCGGGCTCCAATCCCACCTCCTTTTCTCACCAAGTGGGATTGGATTCCTGGGCAGCGCAACCGAGCGCGCGGGCAGTAGATACAAGCCAGGGGCCGGAGGAAGTTGGCCAAACAGCGGGTTGGAGGGCGCGAGGGTCTCAGGGTTGAGATGGGAGGCGGCGCGGGACGGGCACAGTACTGGCGCGCGGGGAGGACAACGAAAGTTCAAAGAGAGGTCGGTACCTTCAGGTCGCGAGAGGTGGCCGCCGGCGGGGGTCAGGGTGTAGGGGTACCACCAGGCCGGGGAGCGCTCCAGGTAGTGCGCGGGCAGGGCAAACCTCTGCGCCGGGATCTCAAAGCGGGGGAAAGCCAGGTCGCCCACCTGCGAGAGCGCGAAGCCCGCGGCGCCCTCCAGAGCCCCCTTGGCCGCAGCGGCTGCGGCAGCGGCGGCGGCTGCGGCGGCGGAGGCCGGCGCGAAGAGCGTCCGTGGGGGCGGCTGCGGCTTAGGGGTCGGCCGGTGGTGGTCTCCGTTGAGCAGGTTCTTGATGGAGAACGGGGACTCCTTGGGCGCGGGAGGTGGGGGCGGCGGCGGCGGGGGCTGCGCGCTAGCGGTGCCAGGGGCGTCCGGCCCGGGCTCCGGCATGGTCCCCTCTCCTCCGGGTCCCGGGGAGGGAGGGATCGGGACAGGCGGGCGGCCGGGCGAGCAGGCGGGCGGCCGGAAATCAGACCATAAACGGAACTCAACTACGGGGCGCAAAGTCGGGGGCCGCCCCGGGCGCAAATCCAGCCGCGCGAGGGCGGGGTGAGGACCCGGCCGGGGTGGGCTCGCATGTGGGAGGGGTGCTGAGGGGCGGGGAGCGGCCCAGCCGCGGCACAGAGGGAGCGAGGCGGCTCGGCGGCGGCTGCAGCTCCCGGGGAGGAGGCGGCAGGAGCAGTCCCCGGCTTGGGGCTGCGTCAATCCGGCGCCGGATGCTAATGATGAAATCAAAATGTCATCCAAGTTAAATGCGGGGAGTATACGGCGATTGGGCGCGTACAATGGCAAATGGGATTAGGCAGGAGAAGGCGCAGCCGAGCCCGGGCCCCGCAGCCGCCTCCGCCACCGCCCCCTCCTCGCCTTCGCTCGGATTTTGGCGCTTTGGCTTCGGGCTATAAGAGCCTGCCTGTTATTGGCTTTATATAGTCCAATTAGGCAGCAAATGAGGACAAGCCTATTAGCACAAAAGGATATTGGCTCCCGGTAAAGAGGCACTCGGAGTGCTCCGGCGAGCGCAGGAGGCGAGCGAGGGACGCAGAGCCGGCGGCGCCCCCGGCCGGAGCGCACTGACAGCCAAGGCGCCGGGAGCCCGCGCCTTCCTCTCCCCCCTGCAGTTCGGGGACCCGCTTCCAGCCGCCAGGCCTGCGGGAGGGGGAAGGGGCGGGCCTGGCCCGCCCGGGTCACCTCGGGGTTATCCGCGCTCGCAGCTGCCGATCCTCCGCCCCCAGGGGCTTGACAGGGTCCCGCCGCCCCCACGCTGCTGGAGAGCCACGCAGCCCGAGCCCAGGAGGCAGGCAGGACGCAAACTCCCGCCCGCGGCGAAGTCAGCACTTTCCTACCCTTTGGGGTCCGGCGGCCTCAGCATGTTCCCCAAAGCCTGCTAAGGGCGCGGGCCACGAAGAGGGGAATTTGGGTTCCCGTCTAATCGATAGGAAGGGACTCGGGGTGTAAGTCCTTGCACTGCGTCAGCGGGCTCAGAATCAGCGTGGCCTTGGCCTTTGGCCCTGGGAAACCGAAGAGTGAGTCTTTCCTCTGGAGCAGGAGTGGGTGTGGGTCTCGGCGCACCCGCGTGTGCGCGCAAAACGGGCTAACGCCCGCGCATCATTTGCTGGGGCTGCTAAGGCAGCAGTGTCGCGGCACCGACGGCTACGTTCAGAAGGGTGCTCTTCTTCTCGGGCCGGCTCGCGGCCCCGAAGACAGCGAAGACAGCGCTTTCTCCTGGGAAGTCTCTCCTGCCAGCGTTTGGAGCTGCCTAAAGCTTTAAGAGGGGCAAGGAGAACCGAAGGCACAGCGGCGGGACTTTCCTCGGCGGTGGCCCGTGGCAGCGGCGCGGCAGCGTGTCCCCCAGGGCCGCCAAGTCCCTAGAGAACCCTGCTGGGCCTCTGAGGGACAGCTGGGCGGAAGGTCACTCTACTCTCTCGGCTTTAAAAAACAACTCCCCAGGTTGCACAAGAAGCCCATAAGGCAGACATTTAAGACTCTAGATTTAAGCATCAAATAAAGTAGGATTGCTTGTGGGGTCCCTTCCCGAGAGACAGCTCCCTGGTCAGAGAAAGGCGGCAAAGTGGCCATCACTCTCTCCACCCATTGTGAACTTCCATACACCCAAGATCTTTTCATGGCCCCCTCGCTTCTCCATTGACTTTTTCCCCCCGGTTAGATCCATCCCTCCGCTAAGTCAAGGCCGTCCTGCGTTGGCAGGTGCAACCGCTTCGGTTCCCCAGTAGAGAAGTGGGTATGTATTATTTTCTGATCCTGGTCTTCAGACTGTCCCCCCCCCAAATCTCGATGGGCGCATTTAATGCTTCTTTCAGCAAACATTCATCTACAGTAGTGAACCCTATTTTTGCTTTGGGAACCTGGAAGCATTGTAAGTGGTGCTTCCATAAATAATCATTATTTTCATTATTATTACTCCCTTGAGTTTGTACAGAGCTTTAATGGAATGCAAAACGCCAAAGCGTCCGAAATCTGAGTTTGAAATCAATCACCGCCCCGAGACTCAAGCAGGGTGGGTCTCACACTCGGGTTTTATAGGTGGAACAGGTCTCCCGGAGAGGAGCCTGGGCCAAGGTCACCCAATCGGTGCTGGACACCCAGAAGTCATTTTCTCCTCCGTTCAGAAATAGCTCGATGCGCGCCGGTCTACGCAGGTTGGGTGGGCTCGGCCGGGACCCGCCTGCCACGCGGCGGAGGCTGTGAGAGAGAGGCCCCTGCGTGTGTTCGCGCGTGCTGTGGGAGCTCTCCTATCCCGAGCGGACGCGTGCAAAGCTGGCTAAAGTTCTGACTCGTGGACACCGCCTTTAAACTGAGACAAGCCGAAAAGCTGCTCATTTCCCGGGGAAAAGCAGCAGCCGGCAGACGTCGCTGCAAAGTTCTGACTGGGGAAGTGGGTTTTTGGCTGATCCGCAAATTGAGGACTAGACCCAGATGGCAAAGGGTTCAGGCTGGCAGGAGCAGAGTCCCGGACAGGCGCCCCCGCCCCCTGTGGCGCCGCTACCCGAACCTTACTCTCTCTTGTCTTCCCAAGTTCTCCCGGTGTCTCCCCTCCCAGGGGGCACGCAGGTGCGCTGGTGTGCGTGGTGTGTGTGTGTGTGTGTGTGTGTGTGTGCGCGCGCGCGCGCGTGTGTGTGCGTGTTGACCAGAAAGAGGAGTTTCTCGGGTGTCAGCACCCTCGGCCCATACCCTGAGTTTCAGGGATGCTGGGCTTCCTGCACAGAGTAAATCTTTCCTTTCCGCTGCCAGAAAGCTCGTGGATGTGGGGCCACTGGCGCGGACACAGCCCTTTACTCGCCCTCTGGCGAGGGGTGTGGCTTCTGCTTACTCACGCCCAGGACTCCATTCCACGGCAGGCAAACAGCGCCCTCTATGGGACATCCTCTAAACCAAACCTGCGGGCTCGGCGGGAGAAACCACAGTCCCCACGAAAAGCATTTAAAAGCCATTGCTGTTTTACCCTTCCGGGCCAGGCTAGAGAACAAAAGCATTTTTTTCTCTGGGTTCCTGAAGAAGCAGAGAGTGAAGTGCATTGCAGATCACTGCTGATCTTTACCTGGCCACCATAAGAAGGGGTCTCACCTGCCTCGCACCCTCCTCTCCTCTTTTCCTGCCCCTGTTTTAGGGCCCATTTTCTGTTCCTGCTACTAACTGATCCCTGAGGTGCCCATCCTGACTGCAGGCTCGATGGGAGACCCTGGAAGGGCCAGTGGTGCTCAGTAAGCACTTGTGTTCATGTCTGAATGCCTGAGTGAATGAGAGAATGAATGACTGAGTGAATTCACAGTTCCCATTTCAGAGGATTTGTCCAGTTGATTAGGGTTCTTCAGATAGCCTGATCCTATCCAATAGCATTTTTCAAAAAATTTAATGAGAACCCGAGGTCCTTTGATAACACGTTTTACAAAATCTAAAGGAGCCCCAGGGATGGGACTACTGGAGGGGACATTCACAGTCTGATCCTGGGTAGATGGGCTGTTTAGAATGGGGTCTCTGCAGCACAAGGGCAGAGGGGGCCTGGAGAATGCTAGTAATTAGCACCCAACTTTTACAAAAGAGAATGAGGCCTGGCAAAGGAGTGTTTAAAATGGTGTTCTCACCTGCCTTCCTGTCCATCCCCCCTCCCATAACCACCGCACACACAAAATAGCTATACATATGCACACTTACAAGTCAGTAAGTAGTGAGCTCTCCAGGGGAGGGGAGCAATTCCATGTTCTTCAGAACTTTACCTGCTTTCCTCCACAGGGTCCTCCTTGGATGTGCAGCTTCCTGGGGTACCTGCTTACCCATGGAGTGGGGAGGATCTGCTCAGACTTTTAGCCAAGGGTGCCAAGCTCCCAGGCATGGAGGCTCCCCACACAGCAGGCACAGGCCCTGACGGCCACACTTTATCACTTAACTCTTCTCACCAAGCAGGTCCTTGATTTGCAGGCAGAATGGATAAAAGCCTGGAGTTACCATCTTGGGGAAACTGTGCCCCAGCCTGCATGTGTTTTGGCCCTCTTTACTGGAAAGTTCTCTCATCTGTTCCAGGGCTGCCAGGAATGCTGCCAGAGACCCCTCCCTTTGGCTAACGATTGTGACTCTGAGATGGGTCACATCTGAATCCTGAGTCAAGCATAATTTCCTTAAAGTGACTGAATGTCTAGTCCTTTCCCAAGAGTTAAGGGTGAAAATTACAGGGACGTAATATCAGCTAACAGTCATTGAGTCCCCACTATATGGCTGGCAGGCACTATAACCTGGGGACGTGGGTGCTTTATTATTCCTCTTTGACAGATAAGGAAACCGAGACACAGAGTGTATGACAAAGGCAAGGTAGAGAGAGTCCTAAAGGATACTGAGCCTCGGGGCGTCGTTATAAGGACAACGCAGGCATACAGCAAAGGCTATGTAAGCGATGGTCGATGGTATCCTTTACTCAGTTTTTAGGATGAGCCCAGAATGGGCCAGAAATCCATTCTTACGGGGTTTCTCCAAGAAAGCTAGAAGTCTTACAAGGGAGAGATACCCGCAGGAATTGATGCCTTGCCTAAAGGGGGCCTTACTCTGCTATCAAGGAGCAAGCTAGTTCTCCCATCCCTGACCCCCTTTCTCTTCTTAAAAAAGACTTTCTCATCATCACAGGGTCCTGGGATCGAGCCCCACATTGGGCTCCCTGCTCAGCAGGGAGTCTGCTTCTCCCTCTGCTTCTCCCCCTACCCCCCCCACTTGTGCTCACTCTCTCTCTCAAATAAATTAATAAAATCTTAAAAAAAAAAAAAAAAGCCTTTCTCCCCAACCAATAATTTCTCACATGTTCTCATTAGGGGAAAACAAATGCTTTTTTGTGTGGGTGTGTGTCTGCATTTTGCTCTACCATATCCTACTATTTGTAAGTGTCTGGA